ATCAAGACCAGTTTTGATAGGAGAATAGAAAAGTATGTGTGAATTTAGGTCTATAACAATGTGCCTATTCTAAATCTGTGAAAATGGCCAAAGATGGATCACTTTAAACAACTTTTGATTGTACTGAAAATTCTCTTGGTTTCTTACTGCTATCATTTGGATATGAAATGTCTCCTAATAGCCCGTGTCCCTTAATGGCTTGGTTGCCTGTCTGTGGTGCTCTTGGAAAGTGGAGAGACCTTTAGGAGGCAGGGCCTCATGGAAGGAGGTTAGGTTATTGGGGGGTGTGCTGTCGGAGAGGTTATCGGCACCCTGGCCCTTCCCTTTCTTTCTCTTTGCTTCCTGGATGCCATGAAGTGAACAGACCTCCTCTGACATGCTCCTGTCATGAGGTACTGTGCCTCTCTAAGCCCAAAATAGCACAATCAAGAAACATGGACTGAAAACAAACCTTTCCTTCTTTTCACTTGATTATCTCATGTATTCTGTCCCAGTGATGGAAAGCTGATTACTACACTCATCAGTTAGCCAAATGGGATGGGTAGGGAACCAAAATGTAGCATTCTATAGTGGTGAAATGCACAAACTGTGGTATAAGGAAATCTATATTCAAACTCTGTCCACTGCTTAAAGCTCTGTGACCTCAGTTAGTTAAGCTGCGGGATCACTATTCACTCCATTTCTTCCTTAAAAAATAACAAATTTGTATAAACTCCTAAGACTGTCTCCATGAAAATAAATTTAGAAAGACTCCATATCTACTTATTTTCTACTTCATTTGACTTTAGGGAAAAGAACTACTTTCACTGGACAGAAATGTAAATGGAAATGGGTTCTTTCTAGAAAGAACGGTATCTTTAATAGAAATGTCAGGAAAGAATGTAGTTCATGTAGAAGCAGGAGGTGCAGAGTTAAGCATTTTTTTCCTCAATCAGATGCTGCTGTGTGATGGATTTTCAATATACATGAAAGCAAAGGAAAAACTATGAGCTGGGAAAACTGGCAACTTTCCAAACTGGAAATAATCCCATAAAATTCACTAGTATTTAAAGTATCTTTTTCCTTTAGGAAAAAAACTAAATGCTGTTACTTATTGTCAGTTAAATTAGATATTAAGGTATAAAGAATGTTATAACATTTAAAAACACTGTTAATCTAGTTTCCATACATTTTTGCCTATAGCATACAGTGACATATACAATTTCATTAGGCCTAGTGCACACAAAAGCATATATGTGTATATTTTAAAATAAATAACAGAAACGAAAAATCTGTGATACCTGCACATACTCATCTGTAAGGCATTCTGCTATTTTGTCTTATATTTTATATGCTGGTTGTGGTCCACTCAATTGAATTTATGACCCATGGTGAATGAAAACCTGCAGTGTGAAAATAATTTATCTACATAAACCTGCTGACCACTGTATGAATCCCTTTCGTAGTCTCTCTGATAGATCAGAAAACTGTACTTGTACTTTCCATGACGTCTTCTACTTCACACGGGGCTTCCACTGTGGGGAACTCCTACTAGAAATTGGAAATTACTTTTTAAAAAATCATTTCAAGAACTGGTGCCAGTGCATCCTCTTCCCTCCTTCACCCCTGCCTTTCTTTCTAAGGCTCTTACTAAGTAGCGGCTCTGTCAGAAACTGCACTTTTACTGCAGACACAGCCAGGATCCAGCCTTGTTCTCCCGGGAGGTGTTACTCAGTGGAGGTGTCTCCTGGAGACAGAGCTTACAGTGAGCATTGTTTTTCTGAACAGTGTAAAGCAAGTCAGATTCCTTCTGCATACAACACACCGTACTACATGAAGCTTCTGCTGCCTTTCAGTGAATTTTTATTTCCCCACATTTAACTTGCTCAGCATCTGCACATTTTCATTGGAGGCCAGACTTCCTCCTCCTGTGGTTCTTCTCCCTACTTCACCTCCTGTTCCTCCTTTTTAAAACGGAAGCATAACTTACATTCAGTGAGATACACAGATCCCAAGGGACAGTTGGATCTGTTTTGACAAGTGTATGCAGTTGTGTACCTTCCCTGAAAGCACTGATGTATTTCCCTCACCCCAGATTTTTGTGATGCCTCTTCTTAGTCAATATTGCTACCTCTACTTTCTGTTAGACTCAATTGTTGATCTGCTTTCTATTATCACCAAATAATTTTATAAAATCTTCCTAGCTTATCATTCAATCTACTCTCACCCTCTCGGCTGGAAGACATCCAAATGTGTCACCATCTTTCTTAAAACTGGATATTTGCAATGTGATGTTAGTCTAGAGGTGGTTTTAATAGTCAAGAAAACCAACATAATGTTAAAATTTAGTGCGGTCTCAGATAGTAACTGTTGACCTATATGAAATTTGAAGTCGTATAGAACTCTCAGGTCTAGAAGGAGTCGTTATAAAACAAAATTGTGCTCTTCCTTTCTCTCTCTCCACTTTGGATTAAGTTCAGAATTTTATATTTGCTGCAGTTTAATTTTGTTGGTTTTGCTTATTGTAAGTATTCAGTTAATTTACAATTTTGTAACTATCCATTTTAAATTATTCCTTTCTGCTTTGTGTTAAATATTTTGTGTTTAAATAGCATACATCTTATACCTTTACCAAAATCTTTTTTATTCTTTTTTCAGACAAGGTCTCACTAGGTAGTTCAGCTTGGCTTTAAACTCACTGTGTAACTCTGGCTGGTTTCAGATTTGTTGCGATCCTCTTGCCTCGGCCTTCTAAACACTGATATTGCAGATGGGCCCCATGCCCAGCTTATCTTTATCAAAATCTTGATGGAAATCCACACCAAGATATGGCAAAGAAAAGAGTCTCAGGATGTTGATCTAACTCTGTATTCTGAGAGTCATCATTTGGGACTGACTCTCTTGAACACTGGGGTTGACTCTCCTAACCATTCTGGCACACAGCTTCTGCTTCTTCATTTTATCTCCAGTAGTACTGATTATGTATTTGCAAAGCATATGGTTCTGTGTGAATTACACTTTCTTTTCTACCTACACTTGCATTCTAGGGGATCACCTTGAATATCATGGCTTAAAATACATCAGAATGCTCATGGGTCTAAATTTATTGTTCCACCTTGGACATCTCTCAACTCAAATTAATCACATGAGATTAATCACATTTCCATCTGGAGGTATAGCAGTCACCTGAAACTAACATATCTGTCTTAGTATCTTTTTGCTACTATAAATAGAAAACCAAAGAGTGGATAATTTACAAAAAATAGAAATTTGTTTCTCACAGTTTTGACAGCTAAGAAGTCTGATATCAAGGTGCCAACAGGTTTGGTGTCTGGTAAGGGCTGCTCTCTCTCCCAAGATGGAGCCGTGCTGCTACACCTTTGGAGGAGGAGAACACTATGTCCTCATGAGGTAGAAGAACATTCCTCTGACCTTGAGCCATTTTATGAGTGCTCATCACATTTATGAAGGCAGAGCCTTTAGGAATTAATCATAATACTGCTGCTTTGGGAGTCGAATCTCAACATGAATTTTGTCCTGAAGGAACATCCTTTTAAAATCCATAACAGGATTACTCTTGACTCCTTTCAATCTATGTACTCTAAAACTTCCGATTTGGTAAATATGTTTGTTCTTCCCATTGTCCAGTTCCCATTGTCCCCATCCTTGGGGTCATCTTCTGTCCTTTTCTGTCACATTTTCTTCATACAGTCAAACAGAAAATGTGTAGGCTATTCTTGGAGCACACCCAGTGTTTAGCTCCATGCAAACAGCCGACTACCCTGGGTCTGGTCATTGTCATCCCTTCGGTAGCTGTTGAGGATAACATCCATTTGTCCTTTCTGCCTTCCGTACTTTCTTCCTAAGGTTCATCCCCACCCAGAAGGAAAGATGATCTTTCTCAAACTAGTCACAAACAGACCATTTTTTGCACAAGAGCCTCAGTATTCCTGCCTGTGAGAAGTCAGTCTTATTCATAGTCTATATTATAGCCTACATGGTCCTTCATTACCTTGACCCTCCCCATGTTCTTCTTTTATTACTTTCCCCTGACTTCTCTTGCTTTCCATGCCTGTAACTTTGCTCCAACCTCTCTCTTCTACTTGCAGTGTGTTCCCAGCAGAGTTTCACCTTGTCCTGCCTCCAGGAACATTCTCCCATTCCTTTCTGTGCTCTTCCCTTGCTTCTTAAAGCCCAAAGCATTTCCGTCAGAGAGGCCTTTCAGCAGCATACCACATTACCCTCTATGACTTGTTTAATTTTTTTTTGTAGCATTATCTCTACCACCTGTTATATATATATTTTTTCATTCTTTTCTGGGATTTAATTTCCATACATATAAGGATAGTTTTCAAGTGCTGTATCCCCAGTGGCTAACATGCTGCTTAGAACATAGGAGCAACTTAATAAATATTTGTTGAATGAATTAAATGAATAGTGAGTGCTATACCAGTTAAGTCTTAGGTGAGAAAAACTTGTGTGCAGTGTAATAGCTAAAGATGAGAGTAGTACAATTAAAAATATACAAGCTAAAAATTTCTTTGCTATGCATGTTCTTCTAGGAAAAGTCTTCAAATGTATATTTGGCCATCTTAAAAGTCTAGATCCAAAGTATTTGTAGTAAGACATATGATTAGGCATGATTCACTGATTGTCAGGTCAGTCCAGACCTAATCTGGGGTCTGATTTGTCATACGTTGCCAATGCATATTTGTAACCGGAAGGTGATGCATGTGCTAGCAAAGACATAAAGCTGTAGATTTTAATTATGTTTAAATTAATGCAAGAAGAGTCTAAAGAACTCTTCTTTAACACCAATTAGAAGAGAGAGGCTTCTAAAGAGTAAGTTGTCTGTGGAGGAGAGGCCTGGGATATACTTGACTATCATGAATTCTCCAGGTTAGTTTGACTTTGTTAAAACATAAGAAAAATACGAATCATAAATTCTATGTAAAGCAAAAACTTAGATATTTTTCAGGGAATCGATAAGGTGCCTTTCTCTTAATTGTAGAAGCACTTACCTTGAACAAATCGACTTTGCTGAGGATGCTGAAGTTCATATCAATGGCAAGGGCTAACCGCATTGTAGTTGGCAGGTTCTCAAGCAAATCAGACTCATCTTTGTAAAGGTAAACACATCAAACCCAAAAGCAGAATAATTAATGTACTAGCTCACCAAAGTGCAAGTTGAAAATTTAAATAATGAAATAAAATGCAAACTCTATATATAGCTAAACAGATGTATCAAACTCTGTATTTTTATTACATCAATTGGACCTTCATACTTATCATGATAGAACTATTATGCTCATAATGCTCTGAGATATTTTGGCTATGGATGCCATCCTGAACAACTCCAGATTATTGTACTTGCTGAAACTTTAGATATGAAATTTAATGATCATGGGATGAAAGCTAATGAGAGAGCCGGTGTAGGAAAAGGATCTAGTTCTTGTTTTTTCTGTTGGTTCCAGCCCTAACACAGTAGAATGACAAATAATGAGCGCCAGGTGGTGTCTGAAAGCTCACAGAGCTCTGTCAGACCCATCATCCTATTTGACCCTTGTGACAACCCTGAGGGTAAGTGTTCTCATTCCTGCTTTGCAGAAAGAAGAAAAACAAAAGGAACTGAAACGCAGAGGCTGTGAGTGACTTGATGATCGTGCATGAGTAGTGGGTGGTCCAGCTGGGAGCAGAATCTAAAGAATCAGTGTGTTAAGCAAGTAAATTCAAATTATTGTTATTTATGTGCTTATTAGCTCAATTAAGAATGTGAATATTACAGATTTCTCTCCATGTGAATTAAATGATGGGCCTTCAGGCTGACAAAGCTTTTTACAAACAAAACTGCTTATTCTTTCTAATTGAACTTATGACCTTGCGCTTGCCAGGCAGGCGCTGTGCCGCTGAGCTAAATCCCCAGCCCAAACTGCTTATTCTTAATGTCTGGTGTATCCAGAGTTTATGAGAGTTGATTATTTTTGATAAATATAGAAGGAAAAATTGTGCTATTCTATTGCTATTATAATTCATAGATTCTAAATATGAACATCTTCATACAAACACATAGTTTTCTATTTCTGAGGGTTGTTGGTCTCCAGTTACCCCTCAGCCAAAGAGTCAAAGCAGTGTCTACAGCTACTAATGGGGACAGGGCCAAAGCACTGCTCTTGTCCTAGCCTCTTCCACCTGGGAATACCCTCGGAGTAGCTGCAGATTCTCAAGAGAAGTTGCTTCGATCATTTGGGAAGAAATTCCCCACAAGAGGCTGGAGTTTCTTTAGAGTAGCAGTGCTCTTAGGAGCATTTGTGATTTGAGAATCTCATTTTTGCACTAGAGGCAATAAAATGTTGTTTTTTTAATCTCCCAGTGGCAGTAATTCCTATTTTTATAGAACAAACTAAAAGTTGAATTTGATTATTGTCAACCAGTACTATTAGTAGATACCATTAATTATTGAGGGTCTCGTAGAAGTAACCGTGAACCCAGTGACAACATGGAAGGGTCCCGAAAGTTTGTTGTTTGCTGAGTACCTTGCTCCCAGCAGGGGGGTGATGTCGCAGAAAGAGCAAAGGTTTGGGGAGCAGATGCAAGACTGAGTTCCAGTTAGGTCGTATGCTGGCTCAGTGTTCTGACCACATTTTTTTTTGTTGTTGTTGTTCATATGAAGCAAAGTATATGTATACACAGGATAGTTACGATAATTGTACTACTAATATCTGTTGGTTTATTGAAAGGAACTGTTAATGTGTAATTGTTTGATCAGTCTTACCTGCCTCTATCTGGTTATAGGTGCAACCATCTTGAAGGTAACATTATGTAATATAACAACCACTGTTAATATCCTATCACCATGTTTTGAAATTCTGTATAATTTTTATTGTTCTCTATGCTGTTTTGTTTATGTATTTGTTTTTGTTATTTTGGGTTTTTTTCTTTTCTCTTTAAAATGAAAAACAAAATTTATATGTAGATACAAGCACAACTGGGATAGGTGTCTTGCTGATTTCTGTGGTTTATGGAAAGGAGCAGTCAATGCTTAAAATTTTCCTTTTGACCAGTTTTGCATGCTTGAATCTGGTAATCAGAATGACTGATCTGAAAACATTATACAGCGTAAGAACCATTGTTGAACTCCTACCATCTTGTGTGGTGAAGTTCTGCATAATTTCCAATGTCTTTTTTTCTAACTTGTTACTGTCTCTGACTGTGTGATCAATTACTTTCTTACATCTGGTGGACTGAGCAACTTTGTTGAACATAACAGTATATAACAGTATATGTTGCAACCGTTGTTAATTCCTATCAATTTGTTTTGAGGTCACGTATTGTTTTTGTGTTGTTTTGATTTTGTCTTTATTGTTGTTTCATTAGTTTTTTTAATCTTTAAAATAAAAAAAGGAAAAAAGAATCTACAGGAATTGAATACAAGTTAGCATTTTCTCTTCCAAGCTTTGCCTTATCAATAAGATGGTTTCACAGTAGAGGAAAAAAAAACATGGCATTAAATTAACACTTTAAAGATCACTTCATTGCTTTTTAATCTTTTGTCCTAATCTAATTCATCTCTGCTTCTACCTTACATACTTTTCATTTTATAATAAGGCTGATAGGAATCTGATCAGTAATCTGTCATACTTACCTAGCATTCTTTGAGAATACCACGTATATTCAAACCAAGTCCTAACACGGCTCTGCACACTTTGAGGAATGGAATAAGTGTTCATGTAAGCTGTGGTGTGATCCATACAGACACGGAAGCTGTTCTGATTGGCTGTAGCTGCCCCAATTATATCTCGCATCTAAAATCACAGATATAGTCACTTTTTATCCAGTAGAGAAGGTGTAGGAGTTACTAAAAGTCCAGTTGAATTAAGTTTTCTTACACATTCTCTTCTAAATCCTTGACTACTTGATTTTGAAACACATTAAGATGGGGTCCTACTTTACCCATTTCTGTAGAACATCAGGCAAATTACATCATCTCTAATAAATAAGGACAATTAAGAAGGCTCATCAGGGCTGGGGATTTAGCTCAGCGGCAAAAGCGCCTGCCTGGCAAACGCAAGGTCGTGAGTTTGGTTCCCGGTACCGAAGAAACCTGCCCCCGCCCCCCCCCCGCCCCCGCTAAAAAAAAGAAGGCTCATCGATCTGATGAGCCACCACGTGAGATTGCTGTGAGGTTTTGGCCACATAATACAAGTGACTGCACATTACCTTCTTTGCGTGCTTGTATATTATTGCAAAATGTGAGATGATATTTAAAAAACTACACAGTTGGTGCATTTGAAAGGAATGTGCAACAAAAACGGGGCAATCATCTGGCAAACGGCTAGTCCACTTTAGTGAGTCTCACTTTGAAAGCATCCTTCACAGATTATCCAGTGTGCCTGGCTATGTAGACTCAATTCATCATGAAATTGCAACCTCTGTACTCCCTTTGTGTTGTTTAAACAGATAAAATCAAATCTCATCATGCTTAAGGCATAGTACTCAGCAGAAGCAGAAATGTGCTGAAATTACTGAAGCATCATGTACTGCTGTGACAATACTTAAGGAATTGTCAGGTTTTAGTTCTTGGATGTTTATAACTCAGCCATAAAAACCCACTCTAGGTTAAAAGCTGATCTTTAAGGTCTCAGCACAAAAAAGATATATTGCTCGATTCTTCCTCTCACATAGAGGGAAACAACTGGTTGTAAATTTGCTTTGACTGTGGGTTTATAATAGCGAGGAAAACCAGGGCCTTGCTTTCACACTAAGACTTTGCTCATTTATTCTGGTAGCGGCTGAGCTTTTTCTGCTTATGGGAAAACTACTCATTCTTTGGAACTTGGTTCAAATAATGCCCTTTTTGGTTGGTGCCTTCCTTAGTGTCCATTTTAGGGCTAATAGGTTCTTGAAAGCCACTGCTGAGGAGCTGTGCAGACAGTTCGCTGTGCTTGCCTTCCTGACTCGGTTACTCCTTGCTGGCTTCTCCAAAAATTCTCCCACAGCCTCAATTCCCAGATCTCCATTTACCACTCTCGGCAGATGACCGGCCTATCCAGCCACCTAAACCTGGGAAGCTTAAGATACTAAAGGCAGAGCTTGAGAAATTTAATAGGCAGTTAGTTGGGCACAAAAGGCAGTTTAAATCGTTGTTGAGTGCTGCTGCAGGCTGCCAAGTTAGCAGTGACGGTAGTCTAAACTGTTTTCATGCTCTCTTCCTGCAATGACGGGTTTTGTGGAGGAGGAGCTGAGGAAGATTTGTGTCGTATGATGAGTTCCAGTCTAGGGAAGAGCACGAAGGTATTAGGCTCTATGAGCTGCACTAGAGAATATAATATTTAAACTAAAAAGTGATGATTAGTTCCAGGGACGAGCCACTGGTATGACTATACATGGAGATCTTGAATAAATGGAAGCGTTGTCCAAGGCTTTCTTGCTTTTGTTTCCATTTTCCTTCTCAGCATCTTTTATTCAATGAGAATTTAAAGCTCAAATCTGTCTCTAGCTTCAACGTTTTTCTCGTGTCCTCTAATACCACAGTTTTACTGACGATACTTCTTCCTATGGGAGCCTCAAATTCTTTTTTTTTTTTTTTTCCAGACAGGGTCTTGCTGTGCAGTTCAGGCTGGCCTTGAGCTCACTTTGTAGCCCGGGCTGGTTTTGAACTTGCAAGGATCCTCCTGCTTCAGCCTTCTGAGTGCTGGGATTACAGGCATGCGCCACCACGCCCAGCTCTCAAATTTTAATTTAAAGCTAGATGTGGCTACAAAACAGCATTTCTCAAGCTTGTACGTGCATAAGAACGGTGTGCAGGTTCAGATTCAGTAGTTCTCAAGTGCAGCCCATGTTCTGAATTTCTCAAGTGCTGCTGGTGCTGCTGGGCCAAACATTGCACTTTGCGTAGCAAGAGAATTAACTAGTGCTGGGTGGACATTATTTTGTAATCTTGCTGTGAAAATTGCCTTGGTATTGGAAGTGCTCAGTACATGTTAAGCTTTACTGTTATTATCAATATTATATGGTTCTATCATGTGACTATATAAATTATACGTATGAATTAGGGATGCCTCTTAATTTCTTTTTCTTTTTTCTTCATTTCTTTTTGTGTACTGGAGATTGAATATAGGGCCTTTGCACTGCACTACATTTCCAACCTTTTTTATTTTTTATCTTGAGACAGAGTCTCACTAAGTCACTAAGTTGCCCAGACTGAGCTTTAAACTTGTGACTTTCCTGCCTCAGCCTCCCAAAGTGCTGGAATTTCCAGCATGTACTACCGTATTCAGTTGCCTCTTTATTTAAGCTGGAGTTTTCTCATCTCTAAAACTGAGAAAACAATGACAGTAATGGACTAATTCATATTCATTTTATGAGAAATTACGGAACAATGTGATTTTTGTTGCTTACATTCATGCTGATTTAAATTAGTAGTAGTAATTTTTCTCCAACCTACTTCTTATTTCAACCACTGGCACAATGTCCCTGGCCAGGAGAATTATAATATTTTATATGTAAATTTTAGCTGCCTGATGTTCATCTTCTAATATCTAAATATTTTCTAAGTGGAGTTTCCTTTACAGCCTCTCTTTCCAGGTCACTGACATGTCAGGCTGGAGTTGCCACGTCCCTGGGTATCTGTATTAACTGTGTCTTTATTTCCTGTACTCTGAGGTGCCGACACCTGGACCCTTCCTTACTGAGGACAGTACTTCCCATTCACAGGGTGAGTTAGTCCGTGGAGATTGTGACCAACTCTCTTGAGCATGTCTTTCACCTGCAAACTCACTAGTCCCGAGCCCATACCCCCACCTGTGTTCTCACTGGGCCCTCTTATATTCATGCCATTATCCACCTGTCCTCTACCCCAGTGCCAGGTGCCAGAGAAGCAGAGGCAGCCCCACTCCTCAGAGCCTCCTGAAGTGATCAAACAACAACCCTCATACCGCTCGCCCCGCCTTGCCCACATCTCCCCTGGTCCTTGTTTTGTCCACCCCTCCTTGTGGTGTGGTGGGTTTCCTCTGCTGGGATCTGGGATCTATAACAAATGACCTTTTCGGTGGTAATTGTCCCTGACCTGTGAGTCTTACCATACCCAAATAATAGTAAACTTATATTTTAAGTCAGTATCACCCTTTCCAAATTGTAGCATATTTTAATCAACCTTCTTTGTTCAAAATCCTCCCTTTAAAATATCTTATCATTACATATATCTTTCATTTACTAGTGTCCTTCACTCCAGTTATACTGGAATGCTTTCCATTTTCTCAAATATGTCTTGTGCTTTATCACTGACATTTTTTGCACACTGTTCCTAATCAATTGCACTACTTGTGTATGGTTACTGAGTATAACCTGGTTTTTGAAGGGACTTCAAATGCATTTTGTACCATGAAATCTCCTGGGAAGCTTCTTGTTTCTCAACTAATAATAGATTGCTTCTAAACTCCATGTATAGCAGACCCTTAACATCCATACAGGTATTGTTTGAGTTTTGACTATTTTTGAGTAATGTCAAATACTATAACACGTTGTGCTAAACTGAGCTTCAAAGTAAATTTCATTCATAGTACTGAGAATGTGGTGAGTGGGAATCATTATTTCCCTTGGAAGAATAATCATTTTGGGACTTAGCCTAACTCTTCATCTAGTACATGTCTCAACATGGCTTTTTTCACTCTAGCATGTGGTGTGTAAAGTACTCTCCAAGGTCTTATGACTTCTAAAGATGTTGAACTTTCCACTTCTTGTGAATCTGGGAATTCACAAAGATTTTGGGTTTTTTTCCTTGTAAAGGCCAACAACTTTGCATTATAGTTATTTATGTACTTGTGTTCTTTTTTTTACTAGGTTGAGATCATTTGAGAATAAGACAAGATGCTAGAATAAACATCTGTGTAGCAGTGATTTATTAATTGTTTAAGATAACATTCTATAGTTTCTTGTTTAAATGAACTTGAAATTGATTTTAACCCAATAGTTTTGCAAGTTTAATTAAATAAGAGGGTCATAAAGTGTTTTTAGAAAGTTTCAAGTAGGAAGCTAACTTAGAAGTAACTTTCTCTGAAAGTATAAACTAAGAACCTTGCTAATAGGTCTTCTGATAAACTTAATGATTAATAATGGAAAAGCAGTGCTTTCCCAGTTACATCCGCCTCCTCCTCCTCCTCCTTAGAATAGATAAGAAGCAGTAAAAGGACAAGTAGGAGAGAGAAATGAAGGAATATAGAGAGGAAGAGAAGGAGAAAAAAAATGAGATAGATTTTAAATTCTCTCCATAAAGTTGCTAACTTTTCAAAAGTTAAGACACTGTATCTAAGGACTCAGATTCCACTTACCTGACCAATTAGGCTAGAGAATACGAAAACTCCAGAGAAGAAATTCAGGAGTTGAAAAATAATTTCAAATAAAGTCTGTGGTTCTGGAAGACCCCCAATGGTAATTAAACTTCGAACTGCCCAGTAATAACATCTCAGATATCTGTGAAAAGAGAATACACATTCCTTTTTTATATCATTGAAATGCAATTTTGTTTGGAAGCATAGATTATTACTACATTATAACAAGTTTTTCCTCATCAAGATTTTATTTCCATAGGCAGCACTGGCAAACGCTACACATACTAATGTAAACTTAATAAATACTGTGAAATGACTAAGCAATTATACCCAGAGAGGGTCTTTACTACCTGCTCTTAAAACTTAGTGGTGTAAAACAGCCACAGTTTTGTTAGGCTCATAGTTTTGTAGGTCAACATTTTGCGCAAGGCCCAGGAGAATCATTCATCCCCACTCCGTGAAGAATGGGCCCTCAGCTGGGGTGACTTGAATGCCTGGAAATACCTGGGAAGATATGATCCAGGCCAGTCATCTGGTGCCTTGATTCTTACTGCTGGTTGGATTCCTCTGTCCTCTCTACATTTGCTTGGAATACCTGAGATAGCGTCTTCTCTCACATTTCTGAGTCAATGTAAAGATGGATAGAATATCAGGGGCTGGTTAGCTACCTCTCTTTTCATTTAGCCTCTTAATATGACTATTTTGAGCTTCCTCATAACATGGTGGTTGCAGGGTCAATGAATTTACGGGGCAGCTGGTTTACCCAGAGCAGCGCAGGAAGTAGCGGAAAGGTTTCCTAGAATCCAGAGTTCTATAACATCTTAATTTCATGTCCCATTTATTTGTCAAGCAAGTTATTAAGACCAGCTCAGATTCAAGAGAAGAGAAATTTAAATCCATCTCTCAGTGAGAGGATGGTCAAAGAATTTGAGGCCATCTTTAAACTACCACACCAATGACTTGACGAATATTATAGAGATTAAGTTTGTTTACACAGATGGGAGAATCTTCAATAGCTTAGAGCCAGTATCTTCTAACAGAAAAATAAAACAAATAAATATCTTTTCTATCTTCTTCATCCATGTCTTATTACATTATTGAATACACAAATGGTGGCAGAGACAGAGGAGAGAACTAAGCTCCATCTTAATAGAGACATTGCTCTCATATATAATAAGTAATTTATTTAGAAATTTAGTAGTGAATAAATCCAAATATGCTTACAAATACACTTGATGATTTTGTCTTTACTCAAACAATTGTAAAATGGAGAGGATGAGATCATAGCAGCCCAGGTAGGAAGAGGATCAGAAAAGGATGTCAGAACATATGCTATGCGCTTAGGTACATTTGACTATGTATTCCATGGAGTTCAGAGGTAGGGATGAAAATTGCTATTACAATCCCACTTTATAATCACAATTATAAACTGTAATTTTTGTGCCTGAGTAAGTAAACTATTTGGTACACTCTATGTAGTTCTGATAATATACCCCAGGCCAGACATTCTCCTGAATCCTTCAAAGATTGTCCTATAGATGAAAGACAATTTCCAGATATTTTATAGACTTATTCCATTGAATATTCCATGTTTCATGGATTTAGTGGATCTCAGTTAGCTGGGGTCTCTGCGTCTGGGGTACATACAGAAAAGCAGCATGTTTTACAGAATCATGTCCTCATTATTCTCATATTTCTTTCTTTTTTCCTCATTTTGCTACTTATTATTAAGATATTTTATTATTTTATGTTATGGTATACCATAATTAAATTTATTTTGGGGAATTGGTACATTCACATTTTGATCATTTTTACTTCTCTCCTTCCTTTTTGCAGATCCCTTTAATTTCCAAAATGTCCACCTCCCTGTTTCTTCCATCTCTCCTTTATTTTGTTTGCTCATCGAATTATTTACATTTTGAGTCTCTCATATAAGGGAAACCATGTGATATTTAACCTTTTATGTAGCCTTGTGTTTCATATTCCAGTGGATTATCTGTAACATTAGCACTGTGGATAACTGTGCATTAATCTTTAAATAAGGTAATGTTTTTCTTGTGAAAACACAGTTTATAATTTTCAGATCTTAAAGTAGTAAAGTTGGGATTTAAAGGATAAAACAAATTGAAGTCAATATTCAAATAAATCATATCTAAAAAGAAATCACTCATAATCAGATTCAATATCTTTTGAAGGACATATGATTTTTTTAATGTGATGGTTATGGGAACAGAAAAAATAATTAACTCTTTGGTAAGGTTTGAAACTGGTGTGCCAAGAGAATAAAAATATTACCAATGTGTAATATTTTTTTCTAGCAGGCTTCCCTGGACTTACTAATATTGTAGTGAGCTTGATGTCAAGGAGAACCACCTTGAAGAAGTATAGAAGGAATTTTATAAATTGCATTTTAACTTAGAAAATTCCAATTTATAATTTCCTGTTAGCTAATTTATTTTGGTCAGAGGTCCTGGACTTGTGGCTATCTTTAAAATTAGGAAATTTATTAAACCCAGTACTCTCCAAGAATGAGGAGATTTCCTCCCTAAATGGCCAATTCACCGTTGAATGTTGGGATTTTTGTCCTTTCCCTCGCATTGCAGTGTTACCAGGAGCAAACACATGAATCATTTTCTTTCCTTTTCCTCTTTATGGATATTATTGAGTAACAATCAAATGAGAAACTTTGGCATTGATTATCCACATCGCAAGGGCTAGTCTTGAACTTTTTCTTTTGTGTTAAATAGTCTGCAATGTTAATTGGAAGTTTTCTGCCCTGATGTTTTATGGTTTATTTTGGGATTCTTTTCTCAGTCATGTCTTACAACCAGACAAGCACAACCAAAGGTAAGATTTGTAATTTAATTAGATGACTTCATATTGATTTTCTAGGATTAGCTTAATTAGTCAAGTGTGTCCATCTCTAAAATATCTACATTCCAGGCAGGTCTTTTCAAGGAGATTCTATGGCTGATTTAAAACATAAACTATCTAACTATTTACTATATAATAGATGAAATACATCACATACACATTCATATGCACACATATATAGTTCCAAATTAAATCAGTAAGGCAGCATTTGACATAAAATTTAAAAAATTTAATGTAAGAATAAGAATTTTTCCTCTGTGATTACATAAAGAATTTAAAAACAAAACAAAACAGCAGAAAAATAAGAAACAAATCATCTGATTAAAACGGGCAAATAATCTGAATAAATACTTCTTAAAAGAAGACATACAGGGGCTGGGGATTTAGCTCAGCAGCAAAGCACCTGCCTGGCAAGCGCAAGGTCGTGAGTTCGGTTCCCGGTACCGGAGAAAAACCAAAAACCAAAACAGAAGACATACAAACTACCAACAAGTATGTGAAAAAATTCTCAGCATTTCTAATCATCAGGGAAATGTAAATCAGAACCACAGTGACATATCTCATTTAGTTAGTATGACTATAATAAAAAAGACAAAATTTTTAAATATGTTTGAGGAACTACCATACTGTTTTCCATACTGGCTATACTAATTTACAATCCCACCAACAGAGTTTCTCTGCATCCTTGCCAGCATTTATTATTTTTTGTCTATTGGACTATAGACATTTGAAGTAGAGTGAGAAGATATCTCATCGTTGTTTTGATTTGTATTTCCCTGATGATTAATAATATTGAGTACATTGTCATATATTAGACATTTGTATGTCTTTTGAGAAATGTCTTTTTATGTCATTTGTCAGCTTTTTTTGCTATTAAGTTGTTAAAATATCTTATGCATTTTGGATATTCATCTATGATAAATATAAAGTTTGCAAGTATTTTCTCTGATTTGGTAGATTGACTTTTTATTTATTTTTTATTCCTTCAGTTGCTGGGTAGAAGCTTTAGGGTGCAATGTAAGCCTATTGTAGTCAGGGTTTGCAAGGGCGTAGATTTACTACAGGACACATACATTTATAGGAATATTTTATGGTATCCACCCAAAAAATCAGATGCAGAAGAGTGCAAGATATCTGTCTACTCCAGAGACCAAGAGAATCCAGCTGAGGGCCTGGAGCCCATGGCAATGTCTCATGCAAGTCTGTATCAAGTATCTGCACAGGAAAAGCCCAACTGCCAGTGGTGTCAATGATCTGTTGAACATGTATATGCTGGTTCATTTCCAGGCTCTTTGTTTTATTCTGTTGGTACATTTATCTGTTTTATGCCACTATCATATTATTTTGATTATTATAGTTTGTAATATACTTTGAAATATGGAAGTGTGATGATTTTAGGTTTATTGTTTTTGCTCAAAATTGCATCAGCCATGGGACCTTTTTGGTTCCCTATGAATTTTTGGTTTTTTTTTCTTATTTCTAGAAAAAAGGCTATTAGAGTTTTGATATGGTTCTTATTGAATGTTTAGATACTTTTGGATAATTTGAACATTTTAACAATATTCTTCCAATTCATGGACCCATATCTTTTGACTTATTTGCATTTGCTTCAACAGCTTTCATTTGTTTTTTTTTTTTTTATACCGGAAATCAAACTCAGGACCTTGTGCTTGCCAAGCAGGCACTTATGCCGCTGAGCTATATCCCCGGCCCCTATCAGCTTTCATTTGTGTTTTATAGTTTTCCATGTACAAGTCTTGGACCTCTTAATATGTTATTTTTTTTGATACTTTTGTAATGAGATTACTTTCTCAATTTCCTTTTTGGATATCTCATTGTTAATGTACAGAAATGCTACCAGTATATTATTAGCATTGCATCATGAGATACATTTTTGAGAAATTCATATACCTATGTAAGTCAAACACCTGTTGAGACGAAGAATACTGCCATCACTCAAGAAAATTCTCTTGGTTTTCCTATTTGGTCCTTGTCCCCAGTGCCCTGGGACAATGACTATTATTTTTTTTTCTACTATAGATCAGTTTTTCCCACTTTGGAATTTCAGATAAATGAAATAATCAGTGTAGGTTTTTGTGTAAAATAGATTTCACTCAGTGTTGTAATGATTTTGAGAATTATTCACGCTGTATGCATTAGTAATTTATTTATTTATATTACTGAATAATACCCATTATATGTACATACATCAGCTTGTTTATTCATCTGTGGATGAACGACCTAGGCTGCCTGTCAAGTTTTTTATTATTATAAGTAGAGTTTCTATGCATATTTTTGCACAAGTGTTTTCTCTGGGTGCAATTTTAATTTCTCGTGGGTAAATCTCTATGCATGGAATTTTGAGTTGCAAAGTAAGTATATATTTAGTTGTGAAAAGAACTGGTGAGGTCTTCTTAGAATGGTTACACCATTCTACATTCTTGCCAACAATGTATGAGAGTTCCAACAACTCCAACTTATTCTAGCAATTGGTATTGTCAGTCATAGCCCAACACTTGATGCTGTCAGTATTCTTTAATTTTAGCCACGGTGGTGAATATGTATTTAATATAATGGGTATCTTAATTTTTTGTAAAAATTACTTATATAAAATTAAGTCATGCATAAATTAACTCACGTTTTAAAGAGAATTGTTTAGTAATAAATTTTAGTTGTGAAGTTACAGGCTTTGTTACAAGCTTTCCTAGAATGAGTTCTCTTTGTGTGTGTATGTGTGTTTTTGCAATCTGGGCTTCTTCTGATTGTAAGTTTCATCACACCAGTTCTGCCTAAAAGTTTCAAAAAATGTTACCTAGTTCCTACACATATCCAACTTGTTTTGGTAGTGTATAATTTTGTAAGATATTTTCACTGTCTTTTCTGTTTCTAATAATTGTTCTTCATCCTAAGGTTGTATTGTGTTGCCCTTCAGAGCATGCTGGGACTTACTGTTTTCCAGCAAGGACATTGCTTTATAAGATGCTCAATTTTACTTCATTGGAGTGGAAAGTTAGTGGTGCCTACCAGTCCTTATATCTACCAAAAGGAAATTTCTCTAGTAAAAAAACAACCTAGTTGCTATTAGTAAGTTGTGACTCTAATGCACAGATTTTTTTTCAAATGGTCTCTTCTTCCTGGGACTTGCACACTTAATTGTCAAGTTTAATTTATGATCCTTGTTACTCTCTAAGCACTTAATTGAGTTAGTGATTATACCTGACTCATAAACCTATAAAACCCTTCAGTGATAAACTAGTTAACCACCGCATCTGCCCTCTAAATAACACTGTTCATTACTACCAATCAGCATCTGAGTTATTAAAAGTTACCCTACTAGTGAGTTGTCTGGAGTAGAGACTTCCAAACTTTTTCGGTCATGATTCAGAGTAAGAATTACATTTCACTGGCTAACTGAGGACAACACACTTGCAGGCACGTGTGCGTGCACACACACACCCACCCATACCCTTTTACTTTTAATCAGGGAGAATGACATTTCCTATTCTACACTCCTACTTTCCTTTCCACTTCAGAACATAGTGACTTCTTGAATGGGTTGTAACAGTTAAAAATGCTGGTTTAACATTCATACAGTGAAGCAAAATCAAAAGAATCAATGTGGGGCTGGGGATTTAGCTCAGCGGCAAAAGCGCCTGCCTGGCAAGCGCAAGGTCGTGAGTTCGGTTCCCGGTACTAGAGAAAAACCAAAAAAAAAAAAAAAAAAAAAAAAAAGAATCAATGAGTTTCTTTCAAAATTGCGACTCACTTGTTTCCTTCCCCGTTATACACCCATTTTGTTGTGCCGATTCCTTCATAGTTTGAAGCCCAGTAATAAATGCAGGTATTAATGTGCAGAATAAATAGCAAGTATCCAGTTGTTCGGATGACTCTGTCAGAGAGAATAAATACAAAGTCAGCATTCATGTTGTTTCTGGAACACAGCCTATTTCATTTTATTTATTTAGGAACCCAGAATCCAACTCAGCACTCCGCACATGCCAGGCAGGCCCCGTGCCGTTAAGATATACACCCAGCCCCACACAGCCTATTTTAACATTTTCTTTTCCTTTAAGTCTCCACTGAGCATTCTGGCTTTGGAGTTGCGAACTGCTAACTCTCATTAGCACAGTAGAAAGCGATGGTGCCATCCCATGTCGTCTAGCTGCAGCGTTTTGACGGTGACTGACAGAGTGTAAAAAAATCCCGTCTCTCTTTTCACAGATGGTGTGAGTCAACTCTGTGAAAGACATGCCTCAAGGGTCGCCTCTCCATTTTCGGTCCTGTAAAATACGCCACACTGATTTAACTGGCTATCCCTGAGAAGCCCGGGGGACGTTATGCTACAACGAGCTGTGACTAGAGGTCTGTGTGCAAGTGAGCTTCAGAGCACCGAATGAGTGAAATGTAGATCAGGACTGAATCGTCAGGAGAGAGCTCTAAAGTCAGTTTGCGAAAGGCACGTTTATCTGTACTTGTTTTGGCTGAAATGGGTAAGTTCTATTTTTAAAACCAGAGTTCTGAAATTCAATATGATGTTCACACTTTTATCTCACTTGAAATAGCTAGACCTGTTTTGGAACGTCCACTTGTGTTTTATAGAGTCAAAATCTGAATTATCTACTTTTCTTGAACAGGGGAGTCATCTTCCTCCCAAATGCTGTCTAAAATGTTTTGCCTTTGCTTTCCTCACTTCGCACGAGTGCGCATGTGTACACGTTACCTGTAGATGTACGCCTTGTGCATTGTAGACTCGAGATGATGATTGAACTCAAAAAATGAAGTGTACTGTGTGAAAAGAAAGCAGAGAGAATACAGAAGTATGTTACTCTTAGGTATACCTATTTCGATAAAGCTATATAAAATACCTTTTGGTTGTTACTGGAAATAATATTATTCATCCATCTTTAAGAAAATCAAGGTCCTGTTTAATGGTATTTTCCTCTAGAAAGGACATTTTCTCATGGTGTCAAGCTTCTAGAATTTTCTTGCTTTATTTCTACAATCAATCATGGTTTTCTTTTTGAAGATTACAGTAGAATTTATTTCACAATAATTAAAATCACATTCTCCCAAGAATAAATGAAAAGAAGAAAAATCTAATGTAATAAATTGCAGTGATAAATTGGTCCATCGTGTTGTTCAGCACTGGCACTGTTTTTAAACAGATGCATTACACGTACATTCATTTCAACAGAACTTCAAGGCCGGTATGAGAATTAGCTAGTTACTCTTGATGTCATCCGAAAGCACCATGACTTGGTGTGATCTTATTCAGAGCTGCTATTTTCCTCAAGGTTCTTTTCTGCTTATTTTAATTTCAACTCTTGCTTCCTGAAGGCTCTCCTACTCTCCAGCCTTTCTTTCCTCTTTCACTATTGTAGAGAGTGTTATAACACAAGAGTAAGGCATGAATCTCTGACCACAGTTCCGGTCCTGTCTCTGACACTTACTAACTGTGTGACTGTGGAAAACTCTCTTACTATTTCTGTATGTTGTTTTTCTCAATTCTAAAGCAGACATAATAAAAGAATATGCTTCCTAAAAGGCTATATACTGAGGATCCTATGGGCAGAAGACACCTTACAGATTACTTAGTTCAAAACTTCTCTAGTGTAGACATGACTACAATAGAGCATTTGGAATTAAAAGCAGTGTAAGTAATAACAATGACTTGATAACTAGAAATATATACAAATGATTTGTTTTTCAAGAATTTTTGACCCAGAAAATACCCTTAAACACTCTCCTTATGATAATTTCAATTTTTGGTAACCTGCTTATTATGCTTTAAATAGAAGTTTAGCAATAGAAATTTGCTTTAAAATTTAGCTTGTGTGTAACAGAGAAAATTTGCATTTTTAATTTGTTTTTCCATTTATAACTTGGAGACAGAGGTGATATACGTTTATCCTAGAAGACTGTCCATTCAAATGGCACCCTTATAAATAACTGAGGGGCTGGGGATTTAGCTCAGCGGCAAAAGCGCCTGCCTGGCAAGCGCAAGGTCGTGAGTTCGGTTCCCGGTACCAGAGAAAAACCAAAAAAAAAAAAAAAAAAAAAAAAAAAAAAAAAAAAAAAAAAAAAAAACTGAACTGATGGGACTACAAGGCTAGGCAAAGATCAGTGTTGACTTGCACTATCTGTATTTTAAAACAACTGCTGGCCATAAAGGGTTTTTGAACACCTTAGCGATATAGAGATGGGGTATGCAGACCTGGGATTTTGTAATTATAATGCCAGACAAATTCCCAAATCTATAGGAACCTGAGTCTTTCTGAAAATGATTATCTTTTGGCAATGCCTTATGGAATTTCTATATGAGAGTAGAAATTTGACGAGGAATGGCTTGATATTACGCTGCTGGGAATGTTGTGTTTTGCCTCAGTTTATGTTAATATACCATAGTCAAACCCAAAGCCTCTAGAGTTGTGTTAGGCGTATGAAAATAGGAAGCTAGGACCCGTGTAAGTTGAAAAATCATGGGTATGGACGGAAAACTCTTTCTGCCTGATGTTAATCCACCAGTCTGATTATAGTAAGGAAGGTAGAATCAGATAAGCATGTAACAGCGCTGATGCCACCTCTCGTCAGCGGAGTGTTCGGGCAGGTGGTTTTCACCATGCTGATTCTCATTTTCCTCATCTGTAAATAAGTTGCTGGGAGAAATGCATGAGATAATGGACACTAAGTTTTAGCAAAGTCTGTAGCGCCAAGAGTGTAGTCAAGAAATTTCAGCTGTTGCCGCTATTGTTGCTGTCAGCATCCAGCAGGATCACCGGGTTGTACTATGGTGCCTTCCCAAGGGGCAAAAAAGATAATCAGTTCAAATTTATAAAATCTTTTATGATCCTTAGAAAAATGTCTTTGAAAATACAAGTTATCATTATATTCTTAAGGGTATATATGAAACTCTTGGGCTCACCTCTTCTTTTTAAGTACCCAACAAAGCCATGAGTTCTAAAATATTTATCTTAGAATGTTTTTGAGTAGGTCATACATCTACATAGTTCAAAATCAAGTGAAATATATAGCTTTAGAAGTCTTGCTCTGATCCACTCTGATTTTCCTTTGTGCCTTCCTTCCTGTCTTAGGCAATCATTTTTTATTAGTTTTTTTATTAGGTAGTTTTTATAAATTCAGAATAATTGAATATTTTCCCTTTATATAATATAAAAGTTAAAAATGCTCTGTAAACTTTCATATCATGTTTTTGTTTTTCTCTTTATTTTTCTGTTTGTTTTTCTCTCCTGGTAATTTGTCTTGGAGGTCTTTCCATATTAATATGTGGAAATTTTTTTGTGTGTGTGGTACCAGGGATCGAGCTCAGGACCTTGCGTTTGCCAGGCAGGTGCTTGTGTCACTGAGCTATATCCCCAGCTCCTCTTTTTTTTAGAGCTACAAAGTATTCTATTATGTAGAATAGTTAATAGTTAATAGTTAATAGTTACTAGGTGTAACTATTTTCCTCTTAATGAACATTTTAGTTATATACAAGTATGTATATAATTTTATGCTGGAAAATGTGCTAGCATTTTTTCTAGAATTATAGAATTTTAGATAAGTAAGAGCACTTGGAGGTAACCTTCTTTAACTCCTTCATTTTGTAGGCCATATTTCAGGCATTGAATAATCATCTGATAAAAAAGGACAAATGGAAAAAATTATAAAAGATTCATTTATAATTATAGTGGTATTTAGAAGTACAAAAGTATTTCTATTTTAGATTATAAGAATATGTATATGAGATAGAATAAAAGCAAACAGGAGCAATTTCCATCAGGTGAAGTAATATCATTTCTTCCTTTCATTTATTTAAAAAAATTCATAGCACTGGTGAGGGTAGAAAAATGGAGAAAGTACCATCTTGTCTAGTGAAACTCTGTATTATCTCTAATGTTTTATTGAGGAATTATTTTCCTTTTCTCTTTAATGGTTTGAGCAATCTTCCATTCTTACATCTGATAATCTGAGCAATGTAGTTGAGGATAGCAGTATGCAATGTAACAACTACTGGTGATTTGTATTAATTTGTCTTGAGACCCTGTATCACTTTGAATGTTCTTCTTTGATTTATGTTTGTGATACTTGTATGCTGCTACTGTTCTATTTTTTTGTTTGTTTATTTCTCATGTAGTACTCTCTTTAAAATAAAAAAGAAGAAAAATGGAAAAAGTTTGGAAAAGATTAGGAATATTGATAATTTTAGTATATTTTAAATAGCTTCAAGATTTCCATTATTATAAGGCAATTATATATAGTTACCTTACCTTCAATATCCTGTTTGTTCTAAATATTGTATTATACCCAAAGAAGAGGTAGAAAACATCAAATGGTATTATTGATGCCACATCCAACTGTTGGAAGAACACATGAACAATTATGTTATGGTTACATCCTTTGGGGGTCATCGGTGGATTCACACCAAATGAATGTAAAAGTTGGTTAGCTGCAATGGATTATTTGCTGTTAGATATGCATGGTGCCATTGAACGTGTGTTAGCAACATAAAAACAAGAACGCTGTTTCGAAGCCTGCTTCTGGTGTATTTCATTTCCCTCTTCATGCATCTTATCTCTCCTTAGGCATTACCTTACAGGGATTTTTGTGGAGCTGTTACAGACACTTCAGTGATGCTATGGTTGCTAATGTTAAAATAAATTTTAAGTCTTTTAAACATGAGACTCTGGAACTAATTCAAGTCCAATTTTTGATTGTGTTTGAAACCATTGCATGTTCATTGAAGTAATACATTTTTATATTCCAGCCAATTCTCCAGTGTTCAGAGTGGAGTATATCGGTGTGGTTCATTTACATTATTTAAAGTTTTCTGCTACTGTCTAATGTGGACCATTTTGCTACCAATTAACTGTTGTGTAAGTATCAGAGAATGCAGGTTAAGAGAGAGGAAGAGAAAAAAAATCCCTTCTGTTTACTATTAATCAGCCATGCTGATGGGAAAAGGTATTGAAAGTACTGTGTAACTACAACTAAACACATAGATTTTTAAAATTTGTCATGAATTTACATCATTCTGGCCTTCTCAGACCCTGACAATTCTGCAATGACAGTGTCACACTTGTATATTTTTCTGACCACAATAACAGAAAGAAATTCCTTTGTATAACATAATTATTTATTTTCCCTAACTTCTATGCAACTTTGAACCATAGGGTACCTTAAATAAATTTAAGCTATTTTAAGACAGTTAAGAGCAGTTAAGAACATATTCTAAGGCCATACATATGAGAGTTGAGATAATTGTGTAACGATTTCAAAGTCAACTTCTACTGAATAGAAATGGAACTTGTAGTTTGAGTTAACTGGATTAGCTATTATGAAATACTAACAGTATTGGCTTAGAAATTAAATCTAATCATGGGACCCCATTATTTTATCCTACAGACATCTATCCTTATTTTTTCTCAATTTTTATCTTTTATTAGTACATGTCTACAGGACATAATGATTACCTTCCTGGTGGGGGAGTTGGTACATGCACACAGCACATCTCAATTCTGTTTTCATTGCCCTTCTCCTCCCCCAGCTCTACATTCCCTTCCCTTTTGCAAAAAGACCTATCTTCCTATTTCCTATTATCTATCTTTTATTTTGCTTGTATTTATATTTTGTTTTTCTCATATGTCGGAAACCATGAGATATTTATAGCAAGTTGAGAGCTGTACAAGAACTTTTACTAAAATAATGTTTTACGCATAGAGAAGCAGAAGCATGGGGCTATTGACCTGAGTAGTGCTACCCCAGAACCCACAAGTTCTGGTTCAAATCATAATGATCCTTTTTACTTTCTATCCAGTTGCTCAGCTTCCCACTTGACTTCTGTACACAGTCAATAGCCATTTTTAATGTTAACCCATTGGCGTGTGTTTATGTAGACATAGCTCTTTTATGAGTATGTCTAATATGTGATGATGCTTTACAATGAAAATTAGTTGGCTATAAAGACAAACTGAATAGAATTTTAACCACTGAAGATTGCTAATATGGAAAATTTGGAATTTAAGCCCAAACTTGTGGTTTTTCAAATAGAATTCAAGTTGACTAACTTGTCCTTAAGCTGGGACACTAGAATTTTCACATACAGATTGAATAACTTTGAATAGCCTCAATCTCTATCTATTTCAGAGTTAAGAGGAAAAATAAAAGGCAAGAAAATATTTTGTAAGTTATCAGAATAATAAAATATAAGATTATATTGTTACATGAGGAAAGGAAGATGCTTCTTTCTATTTTTTGTTTTGCTTATATGAAAAGAAAGAAATGAAATTATAAACAACTTTGCAGACTTTTATACCATCATGCTACTAGAATAAGAGACTAGAATTCTGTAGATAAGACATACTTCTTTATTGACTTTGAAATCAGAATTTAGATGTGGGCACTAACTTACTTAATCTGCTTAATAATGACCCACATATTGAATTAAACCATTCAGACCTACAAGGGAATGTAGCATGAAGTTACTCAGAATCAAAAACTTCGGGTCTCCCATTGTTTAATAAAACTTCATCTTTATGAACTTTTGTTAAAAAAGAAGATAGTTTATTAATAGAAGTGAGATGGTAATAGATTACTTGAAAAATTTTGAAATTATTTGAAAGTCACCCACTTGAAATTTTGTAGAACTCCTGTAGTGTCTCTTCAGCTCGTTTGAGTCCACCTGAAATATATTTATGCTTCAATTAACTTTAGCCAATTTCATGAATTTTTATATTCTTATCTTTGTATTGATAGCTGTTTCTTCTTCTGGACCCTTCCAATCCCAGCCTGTAAATATGTTCCATCCTCTCATACTTTGAAACAAAGTACCTCCCTTGCCCCATTGTCTGTCAGAGTTGAAATTCTTAAGATAGTCATCTGCCTTGCTTTACTCCCAATCCTCCCTCAGGTTTACTCTTAAACCATGGCAGTTTTTGACACCTCCCTTCTTCCCATTTCTCTTGTATGAGATTAACTGTGCTAAGCCTAATAATAACTTGCTAATTATCACATTCAGGGGATCCTTTCTGGTACGCAGCATCCTATACAGCCCTCACCAAACTGTGAAAGAATGTGTGTGTGTGTGTATATATATATAAATACACCCCCACATATACATTATACATATATATGTATATATATAATATATACATATATTGTACACATATAATATATGTATATATTATATATTATACATATATTGTATATATGTACAATATTATATGTACAATATTATATGTACAATATTATATATACAATATATATGTATAATATAATATATACATATATACATTATATATTCATATACATATACACACACATATATATACATTCAGATACATATATATATATATTAGCTCATTTGTTTAAAATCAGTCTATGTGATTAAAAGGTAATCTATCTGAAGACAGGATTGACTTCACTTAGCAACTGTACCTAGCTGGTGCCTGGAATATACTGAAGAGTCTGAAACATATTGAGGGGTGAAGAAATGAATGAAAGGTTGGAAGGAATGAGTGAAAGTTCTTGTAGCATTTGACAGTTTAGAGAACAACTTTGTCCTTGAAACTATCAGTAATGCCACTCTGGGTTCACCTTAGTTCTTAAATTCCAACTTTTTGGTATTCTTCTAGGACTTTTGGGCTAGACATTTAAAAGTTGACACTCCCCATGATTTGATTTTCTTCTTTCCTCTATATTTACTTCTGAGAAATCTTATCCACTTTTGTCATTTGAAAGACCACTATATATGTTGAGCCTACTGAGTGTCTATCTCTACCTATAACATTTTCTTGCTGTTTGTGCTTAGCCTGGATTAATCATCATTCTCTGATTCCTTTAAGCCAAATGTGACCCCACTCCTGCGACTGCGCACCCTGTAAGCATCCTCATCGACATGGGTTAGTGATCCTAGACTGCTCTCTCTCAGCTCTCTCAACCAGCAACCAAGTTCTGCAGATTCTTCTTCCTATAATTTTGTGTTCATTCTCTCCCATTGGCAATGTTCTACCTGCCGTAAGTCTTGCTCTCCTCCATCCATTTTTAACCACAGGCAGATGATCTCTGTAAGTAAGAGCACTTAACAATCTGTAGGCACTTTGGCTATGCTGTCCCCAGACAGAGTGTCAGTTTTTGCAGGGGGAAGAGCGTGCAGATAACTCCACCCCCTCCAGCAGGACTTGGAATGAGTATCTTTTCATTCACGTGATTTGCTCTGAGCCTCAGAGCACCCTGGGCTTACATTTGTCAAGATTTGCAACATAAAATTCCGTTTTCCTTTCATTTGTCTTTCCTTTATACTTGAGCTATGTAAGATACCTGTCTTTGACCTGTGTTTCCTCAGTTCTTAATGTCTAGCATACAGTTGGTATTCAATAAATGCATTATATGTGATTGATGACTGGAGAAGGATTAATAATAACAATATTCAGACTTAAAAGAGTTAACATGAGGTTTACATTCATATGTTTTAATTATATGTAAGAAATGTCACATATTTTTAGCTAGTTGATAAAAGTGCTGGCCCGTGAACATATAGAAGCAGCATTGTCTAACAGTTATCCACCCATGCTGCTCAAGTTCAGAAGTTTGAAGCTAGTGTTGAGTAACATTAAAGACCGGCTAGACAACTTCCCAATTTCTACTTCCTCTCCCCCTTTTTTTGTCAGTAATTGTTACCCATCTTCACACACTAAATTTTACATAAATACATTTGGAAACATATAAGATGTCCTTAATGATTTGTACTGTAAAACGAAATGGTTTACTAAGTCACAGGTAGACAAAAGTAAGTTTAAGTTGATGTTTTGTAAGTCATGTTCTAAGCTTGAGTGAAAGTGATCAGCTTTTTCAATATTTATGTGTGATAGAGAGACGCATTTTGAGTATTAATTTGTTAAGGTAAAATACTGCATCCTCCCTTCATCAGGGAAGAATGCTTTTAACACCTTTATCCCTTTGCTTTCAGAGTTGTCTGTGATCCTATGATTGAATAAATGTAAATGCAACTAAAACCTTGTTAGATTAAGAGAAAGTGCCATCTAGTGATTTTACAATCCCTTTTCTTTAAAACAGTAATAAATGTGGCATCACTAGCCTCAGGAGGATCAGTGTGCTTACTGGTGGCAATTAAGCACTTATTTTTAAAATGTCACTGTACTTAGTTCTCTGTCTGTCTTTTAAGCCTCCTTATTATTCAGGCAACATTTCTTAAGGGGAGAGTTACTTTAGGGGGAATATGCTAATTGCGCTAAATCTTTTTTTAACAGTTTTTGAAGAACCTCTATTCAGATGTTAGTATATTTACTTATTATTCACTTCGGCTGGCAAACAATTCAGTAATTCTACATGGAACAGATAGGAGAAGTAGTTCAAAAAGAATACCATCTACCTCAAGTGTAATGCAGACTAAATAATTATGTAAGGAAAGAAAATCCTTGAATCAATGTTGTCATGCATTCATTCCTACAAATATATCCTGGGTGTATGGGTTCTCAGGTTAGACAGGGAAATTAATCAAATACTGTCTGTGCTTTGAAGAAATTTACTGCCAAGTCAGAAAGAGAACTACACATATAAATAGGAGACAAGAAAGAAAAGTTTGTGGACATCCATTCATTCAGTTCATTCCTGTGCATCTTCTACATAGCTATGTGTGCACACTTTTATCCAATATTCAAAATGATTTATAAGGTAGCTATTATTTTCTCTGATGTGTGAAAAAGGAAGTGTACAGTGGAAGAATAAATTTAGTTCTACACTACATTTAAGAAGTGAAATTTGACCCTAATCTGTTTGTTTCTACTAGGTGATAATTAGCCTAGTATTTATTTAGCAAAATTAAACAACAGAAATATGAGTAAAGCCTATGCAGTACAGACGAGGTGGTGAATTTTTTTCAGGTCAGTTGATAAACAGTACTTGTGAGGACAAAGTACTGAAAGCAGTGGACTATAACAGAAGGCTTAATAACTGACAATGTCACTAGCTGGTGTTGAAAGTTTCCTGGGAGCCTTGTCATTAATGTGTTTAGCTACCAAGCATTGTGGGGATGTCTCATATGTAGATAATTTCCACCGCCATTTCTGATTTGATTTCTACCGTGTGTAAGGGCAATTATATACAAGAGACGTTTTTGTTGGTTTTAGGTTCAAAATTCTCTTCTCTGTGTAGCACCACTTTCAGAAGAAAGATACTATAAATAAATGTGGACAAACTTGTAAAGCTCCCTGATTCCACCTATTGTGCCTGTTAGTACCTCTTGCATTTCCATTTTCCATATACCTTGTGAAACAGATAAATACAGTGGGTAGGCATACCTACATGGTCACTGTAGGTATTTAATGAATGTTTATTGTATAAATGAATTAATAATTTGATAGTGTACACCAAATATGATATAGATAATGCAGTGGGACTTTTAGATTAGAGACTCAGTGTGCACAGACTTTGTACCAAAAATGTAATCAAGTCTCGCAGGCTGGAACTGCCTACTCTAAATGAAAGAAACAATTAAACTTCTTTTGAACAAACAAATCAATTAGCTCCTGCTCTATATTTATAGCTTGCAATAATGCATCTTAAATAAAGCCCATTGAATGTGTTTTTACTGGTTATTTTTCTCGGTTTTAATACTCCATTGTGTGTAAAGGCCTCTTTTGAAAATTGAAAATAAAAGTCTCCCTTTACTGATTTTGTCATTTTCCATTTGTCAAACATTGATTTTCTCTCCCTCTGTATGTCTAATGGAGGTTGAAATTAGTGCTTTGTTGGGTGCTGTTTGCTTCTTGTTTGTGCACCATCACGGTCATTCATCAAGCTGCCAGCAAGCTCTGGGGACAGCGCTGGTGAGTTAACTAATGCTCCAGTCTGCACAAGGAAAATTTTAAGTAGCTTTTCCTATAGCTTTGGCTTTTGCCTTTAGGATTTCTTCTAAGGAAAGATTTTGACTGTAGGGGATGCCACCCAGAAAAAAAAAAAAAAGATTCAAGCTATTCCTTTCACCTTTTTTTGATGATGTAAAATGTCCTAGAGATTCAAAGAAGAATATCCAGAATGTAAAAGACTCTACATCTCTTCTCCAAAACATATGAACCCGAGTTGTAATACAATCAGTCAGTCTGTTCGTGCTTGTGTGACATCAGAACAGTCCATGCAGCAACATGTGAATTTTTTTTTTTTTTCGCATTTCAATAATTTTATTGAAAGGTATATTTCTTAATACCAAACATAATGGTAGTTGGTTAGGTTACCTCTGCCAACTCAAAGTTGATATGATGTTTTCAAAATATTGAAATATATCAGCCTTTTGGTAAAACTGAAGTTATCCATAAAACATGGTTTACAAAAAGTTAAAGGTAGAATATACTATGGTTCTTTGGTTGACTTAGGCTTTAGGCCTCACGGAGTTCCTGTTTACAACGCTAACAACATACATACATCTCCTTACATTCACTGGCTCATATGGAGAATTCCAAACACTAGCTCAGCGATTTCATGATTATGGAGGTGCCTACTTACTTTTCTTAAAACGCAGTATAGAAATTTGTGAAAGTATATTCTATTCCAAAAATATGGAACGCTTCACGAATTTGCGTGCGCAGGGGCCATGCTAATCTTCTCTGTATCGTTCTAATTTTAGTATATGTGCTGCCAACGCGAGCACAAACGTGTGAATTTTAATTGTAATTAATTACAATTAAAATTTAGATTTGCAGAGACATATGTGCCTAGTGGCCACTGTATTGTGCAGTACAATGAATTAACCCTGATTAAAAGGCTCATGCTTGCTTAACTTCTTAAGTGAGGTTTTTCTGAAGTGTCTAGGTGTCAAACCTTTTGGTTGACTTTCGTAGAGCTTCCCTGAACTGTGTGCAGTGCTGACTGTATAATGATACAAGCCATAGTCTGTGTTTTTTTTTAAAGGAATTATAATTTAGTGTTTTCTCACAACACCAGGTTGTCTCCTTAGAAGACTGAGTGAGCGGTAAGGAATGAAATAATACCGTCCTATTTAACAAATATCATGATAGACTAACGTGATAGAAAACAACAGCTTCACTGACTGAGCCTTGATGACTAGAAGAATAATTTCTACATTTTAAAGACATGACTGAGTTAAAATATGGGCATGTTTTTGACATTTCAGGCTTGGCATGAGTTTTGTACCTTTTTGTATTAACACATTTTGAAAGCCTCGCTGACTTGAACCAGCCTGAGTTTGGAGGCAAGGCCTGGGTTTGAATCCTGCCCCTGCCGCTTTCCAGCTTTGTGCCTTGAGCAAGTCACCTACTGCCTCCAAACACAACTTATCGACCTCTGGCTGGGACTATCAGCGTCTTTTTCTTAGTGCCACTGAAAAGCGAGACATTATACATAAATCAGTGAAAAACATAGTGTTTGGTGACATTTAATGCTCACTGTGCAGCAGACACAGCTGTAGGCAGGGGACATGCATCACTTTGTGTACACTTCCTATCAACACCATGGAGGGACTACTACACTCCCATCTGAAAGACGAGGACGTTAAGCATGTGGGGATGTGTGTTCTTCAGCATATGGTGAGCGCTCAGTGGTTTTGTTATTTTATCATCATTATTCTTCTCAATACTGTTTCCTGTCATTGATGATCTATTTATTCACAGCCAGTTGAATATTAAATTAGAAGATGTTAATTTATTTTTCATTGTCCAAATAGATATTATTTATCTGTCAGTATATTTTTCCAAATCTCACTTACTATTATTTCTCCTCCTCTTAGGAACCTGAGTCTGGGCTGGATTAATAGTATATCACAAAGGTAGATGATATCACATATGATGTCTGTAACAAGCCAGTAGCGCGTGTTGTCTGGTGTTTGGTATGGAAAGACCACACGCAGTGGTATCAGCCAGCAGTTCCAGTGATAAGCAGTGGTGACAAGCAAGAGCCACAGGAGATAGAGTCGATCTGGAAAAACAGCAACAACGGTCATCCAAATGGCATGGAGCAAGCATGAAAGAAGTCTCTTGCTTAGCATCGCAAGTTCAGACAATACTCTTTGGAGATAGGCAGTTTGTAATAAGGGGCTCTAGTAAACATTCGACAGAGTTCTGCCTCCAGAGGGGGAGGCAGTGTGCTATTAAGGGACAGAAAGTGATATTATCAACTCTGCAGGAGCGGACAGTTTCCTTCCTGGCTCCTGGCCACACTGAGTCTGTCCCAGTGGGTAACAGCACCATTTTGTTTCAGGCAAGTAGAGACCTAAGAAAATTCTAGGGGACCTTGCTGAGGCCTCGCTGCAGTACCAGGTTCTCAGAAGTTAAACTGCAGGCTTGCCCAGGGCAGAGAGAGAAGGCCATCTCTCCCAGATGGCATCTAGCGCTTCGTGGGGAGCGCAGACAACCAAACCATTACAGAGTCCATGTCCCTTCACATACTGCCTTCCTCTGCCAGGGGAGGCCCTGAGAGGGACTTTGTTTGATTAGAATAATTAGCATGTGAAGGCCTGGAATAAGATGGGCCATTTACAACGACTCTTTTCTTGTCAGTAGGCATATTGCCGAGTGCCTGGGGGCCTTCTTTATAAAGGTAATTAGGGGTAGGACAAGCCCTAGAGTGCCTTTTAAAAATAGGCAGGGGTATTTTCTCTCTTATCTTCACCAAGAGGAAGAGCAACACTTTGCAGATTATATAGTTTAAATTACACTCCTTCCACACATTCAGAACATAGGCTAGGGAAGATAGAGTCTACCCGTAACTTCAGGTCACAACGGTTTTTGGTGAAAGCCAGTCCTCCTAATGGGATGTCCTTTGCTCATACCTGTGTGTGAATCTATGCTTCTTGGAAGTCTCATTCTCTTTAGGTATTCTGTCAGAGGCAACTTTTGGAACCGGTAACACAATATGCCATAGTAGTGCTCTCCTTTTAGATTAGAATTGCTTTCTTGTGTTGATGGTGCTGTTATGGACTTTGCTTTAAAGGAAAAAAAAAGGGAACATTTTTAATAGCTTAGCATAAGTTAGCTTAATGACCAAAAGCTTAGATTTGATGGAGGCACACATCTGAAAATCTTTCCCTTCTCAATACACGGAGATGAAACAAAACTCTGATGTTTAAAATAGTGATATTTATTTCATGATACATATATCAAAATATTATATTGCACACCTTAAATATACACGGTGACATATGTTAAAATATTCAAGTAATAAAAACACTGGAACTTGAGAAATACACAAATATAAAACTCATTAACAAGGTGCCACAAAACAAATGTATGCCACCTGCTAGGTTTAAGTTTTATATTAAAATACATTCTTCACATATATCCTTCAAGTGCTGGCTAAATAAATCTCAACATATTCTTACCAATATATCTTTCTCAATCTATGATTTACTAAGGCTCATCTCTTTAAAAATAAACCATTATGTAATACCTAGTTCATTTTGAAATCATAACTTTCTTCATATAGAACTGTATGGAAACCTTCATCTAGCCCACTTGATTTGGATTTATCTGTTATTAAACAATTAAATTTTCTTCTCTTGTTTTAATGCATATGCGCTTTACATAGATGCGATCAGAGCACATATAACTTTTGTGCTCTACTTATTGTTCTTAATGTTTTTCATAAATGCCTATCTGTAGTTATTGAAAGGTTGATAATTGTTCCTCCCCTTATGTAATTGCCTTTTGATGTCTTTTGCTCTGTTGGATACTCAGGTAGTATTCTTGTATTTTCATGATCTATACCATGTGTATTATAGGTTTTTAAAATTATTGTCTACAGTATAACTTGCTATGGAAGATCCTGCAGGCAGTCTGTACATATAGCCTGGGTATGAGTGTTACCTGTAAAGGGCTTCCTGTGTTTCTCTGTCTGAGTTTTTTTGGAACAAGTTGCGTAAAATGCTGGGCAGATAACAGCATGTTCTAGTAGCAAGCAGCTATATTCTTTTTTATTAAGGTAATTCTTAGGTTTAGTTGCACAATTTTTCTGACAAATCAAGCCCCATGTGCCCCCCCCCCTTTGTGACCCCCTTATTAATGCATCCTTGTCTTAACTCCCTTGTGTGTTGCTCTTGTCACTTTCACCTTCTTGGGTCACTCTCAAAATAAACTGTTTATACCTAATCATCGTCTGAAGGTCTACCACGGGGTGACCCAAAATGAACTCTTCGTAAAATACATGCCCCTTCATAATTCCCTTTTTCTCAGTGTTTCATGGCAACAATTCTTACCAGTGTGTGGGCTGGCTTCGGGTGAAGACATTTCTCCCTCCATCAACTTTTCCTTGTAGAGGGCTGTTCTCTGATGCATTCTTTTCACCATGTTGTGGAGCTGAGCATCAGCATACTCATTTATAACAGGGACTCCAAGTGGGCTAAAGGAGGGAAAAGAAAAGTGGAGGTAGAGATGGGCCTATAAGGAGATACCTATAGGGGAAGGATGGATTATTTTCACCTTCTTTATATAGTCAATATTATTAACTCCCTCTTCTTGCAATTGCAGAGAACAATTCAAACACTAAAATTAATGGAAATATTATGATAGAATATAGATTTGTCACTGAAAAATAATTATTCTTGACAATATTTGTTGTGAGGGCTGTGGTTGTGTCATTAAATTGTGTTACTAGAAGTTTGTAGTGTTGTGTGACTGAGATCCCTGTTTTCTTGTTATCAATTAGCTCTTGGCCTGTTAGGGCCTTAGGCCATTTTCACCAGGCTGAGATCATTCCTTGGCTAGCTGATAGCAAGAAAATAAGGATTGTAGTCCACATACCCCAGGAACTGATTTTTGCTAACAATCTGAATTAGTTTGCAAAGTAAATCCCTCTCCAGAACCTACAGATGAAAGCCTATCCTGGCTGGCACCTTGATTTCAACCTTGTGCAATTTTGGGCAGAGAACCCAGCTAAACCCACCTAGATTTCTGATGTATGCAAATGTGAGATAGTAAATAAGAGCCTATTTAAACCACTGAATTTGTGGTTTACACAGTAATAGAAAATGACAGGTGTGCTTTAATGAATTTTCCTTGTGAGAAAGCATACAAATAGACCAGTTCAGAGTATAAGGTATAAACTTGTTTATTTCATAAAGATCTGAATTTTCTTCCCCTAGAGTTCTCACTGTCTTTCTTCCTTCTGATGTTTGAGCATGGGTCTACAAGGGCTCATATAGACTACTTCCATTTTCATTTCCTCACAATCATGAATTAATTCCCTTTCCACTCCTCTGCCTCACTTCCATGGGATTCACAATGGAACTGAGTGACCTGTAGATTTCAATAAAGAGCACTGTAGTTTAAGCCCCTATTGGTGAACCTGTTCCCTTCCTGGTCCTTGAATGTATCACATATAACTGTTTACAGATCACTAGACTATTGATATTTTTCTTTTTTCTATTCTTACTGTCATAATTTATACCTCTTTAGAAGGTCAAAGGTTCAGTCTCAGCACCAAAGATTTTTCCTTTAGTCACATTTGTAAGCCCTTTTAAGAATAGTGAAGACTGAGCTATAATGAAAGAAAGTTAGATCCATCTAAGACAATGCAAAACTAGGTGGACACTAGGTCCATAAACACAGAGTAATTTTTTTCTGATAAGAATTATCATAGATAAGGTGACTGAATGTGTTTGGGGTTGTTTCTTCATCTTCTAATCTGTTCTGTTGATCACTGGATCTGTTTTTTTTTTTTTTAGCCAGTACCATGCTGTTTTTATCACAGTAGCTTTGTAGTATAATTTCAAGTCAGGGATTGTAATGCCTCTTGTCTTACCTTTTTGCTGTTCTAGGTCTCTTCTGGTTCCAAATAAATTTTAAGATTGTATTCTTTAATTCTGCGAGGTGTCTATTGGTATTTTGATTGGGATTGCATTAAATCTGTGTAACAGTTTTGGGAGTGTGGCCATTTTCACTGTGCTCATTCTTCCTACTCCAGAGCAAGGGATAGTTTCCATTTTCTGATATCTGCTTTGATTCCTTTTTCAGAGTATTGTAGTTTTCAATATAAAGATCCTTTATTTCCTTTGTTAGATTGATTATTATTTCATTTTTTTGATGCTATTGTGAAAGATGTGTTTCCCCTAATTTCTTTCTTAGTGAATTTATTATTTTTATACAGGAATGCTATTGATTTTTGAGTGTTGGCTTTGTATCCAGCTATGCAACTGAATTTGGTTATTAAATCTAGAAATATTTTAGTGGAGTTTTTGGGGTCTTCCATGTAGAGTATCATGTCATCTGCAAGTAATGATAATTTAATTTCTTCCTTTCCTGTCTTTATTCCTTTTACTTATTTCTCTTGTCTAATAGCTCTAGCTAATGTTTCTAGAACTATATTGACTCACAGTGGTGATAGTGGCCACCCTTGTGTTCCTGATTTTAGAGTAAAACTTTCAGTTTTAGTCCATTTAGTGTGATGCTGGCTGCTGGTTGTTATAGACGGCTTTTATCAGACTGAGATAAAGGGTTTCTTTTCCAATATTCTGAAGGATTTGAATCATGAATGGGTATTAGACTTTGTCAAATGCTTTTTCTGTGTCTCTTGTGATGACCATGATTTTTTCTCCTTGGCTCTGTTGATTTGGTGTTTTACATGCATTGATTTATGTTGAACCATCCCTCCCTCCCTGGGATGAATCCTACTTGGTCATGGTGTATAATCTTATTGATGATTTGCTGAATTCTTTTTCTCAGTATCTTATTGAACTTTTTTTGCATCTATGCTTATTAGGGAGATTGGGAAGAAAGATATAGCCTGTTTAATAAATCGTGCTGTCAAAATTGGCTTTCCATATGCTGAAGACTAAAACTAGACCCACGTCTTTCAATATGCACTAGATTAAAATCAAAATGGATCAAAGATCTAAATATTAAAACAGAAACACTAAATTTACTGGAAGAGACAAAATGTAGAACTCTTAAAGACATAGGTGTAGGCAAAGACTTTATGAACAAAATCTTGAATGCTTGGGAAATATTACAAAGAATCAACAACTGAGATCTCATTTTATTAAAAAGCTTTTTCACAGCAAAAGAAATCATTAACAGAATGAAGAGGTAGCCCACAAAGTGGGAAAAAATTTTTGCTAGCTGTTCCAGATGAAGAACTAATATCTAGGATGTAAGTGGACTGAAAAAAATCATAAAGTTAAAGACCAATCTAAATCTGAAATGGATAGATACTTCTCAGATGAAGAAGTAGAAATGGCAGGTAAATATATGAAAAATGTTCAACAATACTGGTCATTCAAGAGATGCAAATTAAAATAATGCTGAGATTCCACTTCATTCTAGAAAGGATGGCTATCATCAGAAAATCAACCAATAACAAATGCTAGGGGCTGTGTGGCAAAAGGAACCCTTCTCCATTATTGGTGAGAGTATAGACTGGTGCTCGATGAACAGCTGAAAATCAAGGTGGAGATTCCTCAAAAAACTAAAACTAGAGGTTCCATTTGACCCAGCTAGTCCCCTCCTTGTTATCTTCTCAAAAGAATTAAAAGCATTATTCACAGTGATATATGCACGTTTATAGTGGCACAGTTTATAATAACTAAATCTTGGAAACAGCCAAAATGCCCATCAACTGATGAATGGGTAAATAAAATGTGGTTTTTACACACAGTGGAGTACTACCCAGTGATAAAGAAGGATAAATTTGAGATATTTCTAAGTAAATGGATGCACCTTGAGATCACACTCTTAATTGAAAGAAATCAAACACATGTGTAAATACCACACTGTTTTTCTAGTATGAGAAAGCAAAAGTGTAAGTAAGGAAGAAATTTAGAATAGATATTATGAAATAGGAAGAAAATGTTCAAATGGGAAAGAGAACTAGGGAGGGGGAGGGGGAAAGGAAAAAAGGGAAAAGAAAATTATATGAGAAGAGAACCAAAATAGAAGCAAAGCTTTTGTAACTAAAAGGGGAAGGGGGTCGAAGGGAGGGTAAGGGAATGGGAAAACTGTAGAGTAAAAATATATTGTGTACAGGTAAAAATTCCTGAAGATGAATGTGATCATTATGTATATCTAAAATGTACCAATAAACTTAATTAATTAAAAATATTATCATAACTTTCTTCTCACTTATTCTTTTTCATACATCTTATTATTTTAAGCTTATTTCTGAATGAATACATAGAAACATAAAAATTGTTTCTATTTGTAAAGTATCATATGATGTTTAAATGTATTTATTGATTATTAAAAATTTAGTATACTTAGAAGTATATTCATTCATCAAGCAGTTATTAAATATATACTTTATACACAGCAAATATAGATGATTTAGAGATTGGTCCCACAGATTTTCATAGATTAATGAAGATATAAGTTAATAGCTAACATTAAATAATAAGGATACAAACAATGTACTATGGTCACATTGAACGTAGCATGAGGAAGTCTACTAAATCTTAAGGGAGTGACATAACTTTGATGGAGAAGTGATAGCCCAAACTTTTAAGCCTTGCTAGCAATGTGTCTGGGGATCTGAAAGGATGTAACATAATCAACAAACATTTTGATTCAAACAGTGTGTGTGTGTGTGTGTGTGTGTGTATGTGTGTGTAAGAGGCCAGGTGGCAAGACTGGTTGGGCCTGAAAAGGCCAGAGGAGTAAGCAAAGTTAGATGGTCCTGTATAATTCACTTAGGAGTGAGGATGTTGGGCTCCAGAGAGGAGCCAGGGTAGATGATGAAGCAAATGAGGAGTGTGGGCGGGAAGGTTTGTATTTAGAGAAGCGACAACAGTGGGGGAAGGGGCTGAAGAGGGGCAGCATTAACGCATGGAGATGGAGCAAAAGTTACTCTACTAGGTTAGATCTGAATCAAGGTGATTAGGAGAAAAGAGTGATTGAGGAAATATTAAGAAGCAGAAATCATAGGATGCAGTGAATCTTGTGGAGGTTTGGGTGACTAAAAAGATGAGGAATGACTTGTAAGCTTTCACTAGGAAGGATCAGATTCACGAAGGAGACATTAACATAAATCAGGAGCCAGAAAGCAGATGTTTATGTGTAGTGGGCACATAGGAAAAAAATGAGTTCTTTGGGTGTAGGTCCAGGTCAAGGCCTTGTAGGGCTCTGTGTGGTAGGTCTTTGTTTCACTGAGGAGAAGGGCAATTTAAAATCAGTTCTGGGGACAAGAACTTAGTGGTCCTCAGCTCACAAGGGATGCTTGGATCAGGTGGATGACATCATCAGAGACTGAAGTTTTCAAGTTCAGGATTATAGGTTTTCTTTGTCCTCCACAAGACCTAGGAAAAGTAGATTTTTAATTATTGCTTATTGAATAAACCTGCTAGTTCTAACCTTTTGTTCGACCTTACTTGATATGCCTCAGTGCTTTAAAAAATCTATA